ACGTTTATCTTTGTCCGTTACACAAATTGACCATTACGCGAAACTTCATAAATTTGTTGCAATCATACTGTAGTTTGAAATCGATTTTTGTCAAACCCTACGGCTCTACAATACCCTAAATTATCATTTCTATATAAATTCACAACTCAATAACTCCTCAATTGAATCTTGTAATTCAAAATTGACATAACTTCGGATTTATGACTTAATTTCGAAAATTGCTCTAATTAGACGAATAATGGGCTTGAATACTTCCTGGGCGTTGTAATTTGGAGTTGATTTGGCTTATCGGGATGTCCGAAACGACTACACGTGAAAATTTCTCTTTCTTCTTTTCCTCTTTTCCTATTCACAAGCGAGCTTTGTTTTCTCCGCTGGCTTCACGCTTCTTCTTTTCCTTTTCTCTTTCTTCTTTTCCACTTTTCCTATTCACGGGCGAGCTTTGTTTTCTCCACCGGCTTCACGGTTCTTCTTTTCCTTTTTATGCTCATGCACAAATCTGTTGAAGTAGAAAGGAAAATGGGATAGGCTTGGGTCTTAGGAACATGGGCTAGGTTGAGCCATTATTACATATGTGAGCCAATTTAGTTGTTGATCCAAGCTTTTAGAAAGGACTTAATGGCATCATTATGCCTTCTTTTGGTGATATTGTCTAACAAAATTAAATTCCAAAAACGTGCGAAGAATGTTATGATTTATGATTCTTGTTTCTTCGGGGACTGGACTAATGGTTTGACTAGCAACTAGACTTGTCAAATGGACGGATCGAGTCAGGTTTGGATCATGTCGAGAATGGTCCGACTCAAATAAACTTATTTTTATGTAATGCAAATCTAGTTATCCATACACGATGAGACCCAAACCCAACCCATACCTTACCCGACTTGTATTCGCAACATACTTTCATAATTAACTCAATTTAGGAAAACTCATATATAAACTAAGATAAAAGTGCGGAGCGAGTGAGCGCGAAAAAACTCATACTTTCATAATTAATTTTTATTCATACGTCAAAAATTACCAACTATTTTAACAATCTATCAACATTTATTTTTATGGCTTACCAACACTGTGGAAATTTAAATTATCAATCTTAATTTGACTGATATACCAATATTTGTCAAGATAACAACATATTTTAATCATTTGGTAACATTTTGTCTTGGTTTTGAATAGTATCAACACTCCTTAAACTATTTTAATAACGTACCAATATTTATTTTTATGACTTGCCAACACTTTTTGAAGTTATGAACTTTTATTGAAATTACCAATTTTAATTTGAGTGATATACCGACATTCGTCACATTGAGATATCAGCTAATTTTAGTATCTTGCTTGATTAAAAAATGTACCAAGAATTCTTTATACTTTCAAGATTACTAACTATTTAACGAGTTACCAACATTTATTCTTGTATGTCAATTCGAATGCCCTTGAAGTAACTGATCAATCATACCAACCTTCATCATATTAAAATAAAGGTTAATACGACGACAAACCCAAACTGGTACACCTATGACAATTTTAGCCCAAACTAATTTTTTGACCACCAAAAATTCAAAAATGATACGCCTATGACATATTTACCCGAAATTTATTTCCGTTAAATTTTACCGTCAAATTGCTTTGTTAAATGACACATGACAGTTAACTAATATACAAGTTTTATGTTTTACCCTCTGTTTGTCATGGGTGTACCAGTTTGCGATTTTTTGTGGTATTAATCCAATTTAAAGAAAATTAACAGATAGTAAATTTATCATAAATGTATTAGTTTGGGGTTTTTAGTAGTCAAAGTATTAGTTTTGGGTAAATTTGTCACAGATGTACTAGTTTAGTATTTTTGGTGGTCAAAAAATTAGTTTGGGGTAAAATTGTCATTTAAAGTGTCTGGGTTCGTGGTTTTCGCGCATGGCAAGGAGTGTGGCCGGTACTCAGCCATCCCTAGACGATGTTCATGGTTGGCGGGCAAAGAGCTCCTCTATAGAGAGTTATGATCAAAACTATTTACTTACTAATGTTGAATCTTGGGAGCACATCATGGTGGGAATCAACAAATGAGACAACTTTCAGGTTCCCTTCTATAGGTGGGAAAGGAAACATGAAAATGGACCGCTCTTGAGAATGCGACTGTACCAATGCATAGCATTGATCCGGCATCTCCCGGTACCTTAACCAAATCACCTGCTTGCACTAGAAAAAAGACAAAAAGGGCAAGAAGAAGAAGAATGTGGTTCTCTTCCCATGAAAGTCGTGGTCCAAATCAATTGTCAGAGACATGGTCCAAGCCCAGTAAAGAAAAGCATATTTCAAAGATTCTGATCGTTAACGTCGGTCCATTCCAATCCCTGAGACTAAGGCATCATTATTTCAATTAAAATAATGAAGATTTAGAACAATTTACTTAGAAAAATATATATGTTTTAAAATTATTTGCAAACATATCTTTAATTCTGAAGTACTTTCATCGTTTATTCTTCTTTACCTTTTTTTATAATTTCTTGTGACTTTGGTCTTTTCTCTTTAATTGTACTTTAATTACTGTCCTTCATGTTTCCAGACCTTTACTTTTGGTGCTGTCCAGTGACATAATGTCACACGTTTCTCGGATGCCTTGCGCAAACTTGTCATCATTGTTAGCTTACCCGACCTAAAATTGAAAGGAACCTGATTAAGAAAAGATAGAAAAGTCTGTGTCGCAAACGCACCGTGATACCTCATCATCAGTAAATCAGCTAGTATTACGAGAAGTTATTACGTGAATAGTTGATGTACACCTATACCATATGAGCCATAACAAAAATTATTCACAATCTAAACTTGCTATTTGAAGTAAAAAAAATTTGGGTTAATATCACGAAAAATTTAAAACTGGTACACATGTAACAATTTTACTCCAAACTAATTTTTTGATCACTAAAAATTTCAAACTAGTACACCTGTGATAAATTTACCTCAAACTAATTTTTTGACCACCAAAAACTTCAAACCGGTACACTTGTGATAAATTTACCCTCCGTTAATTTCTGTCAATTTTTATTATTAAATTTGCTGAAGTGTATGACACACGGTAATGTGGTATGGTGACGTGAATCCACAAGGTAAATACCACGAAAACACAAAATTTGTCAGCTAAAGTAGGGTAAATTTGTCACAGAATTACCAGTTTGGGATTTTTGGTGGTCAAAAAGTTAGTTTGTGGTAAATTTGTCACAGGTGTATCAGTTTAGAGTTTTTCATTGTCAAAAAATTAATTTTGGATAAAATTATTACAGATGTACCAGTTTAAAATTTTTCCTGATCAAAAAATTAATTTAAAATAAATTTATTACAAATATATTAATTTAAAATTTTTTATGATATTAACTCTAAATATTTTAACTTCATGATTTTCATGTCATTATCAATCATTCAAAGTGACAAGACTAGAATTGATCGATGGACAGGCCGGTCAAAATCTCCTAGTCCCTTTGCCAAATCACCTGTTTGCTCTGGAAATAAGCAAAAAGGAAACAAAAAATGTGATCCTCTTCCCATGAAAGTCAAGGTCCAGATCAATTGTCATATCACCAGTCTAATCCAATTCCCGAAACTAGGATCAACGCTATTTCAACTTAAATAACGAAGATTTAGAAAAATTTACATAGAAAAATATACTTATAAAATAATGTGATAAGTTCCTAAGGAGTGATTGAATATCCCTCATTTATTGAAATGCCAATTTCATTTTTTTTATAAATTATTTGTAAACATTTCTTTAATCTGAAGTACTTTCATTTGTTTTTGTTCTTTATCTTTCTTTTTTTTTTTTTCGTTCTTGTGACTTTAGTCTTTTCTCTTTAACCGTGCTGCAACATTTGTCCTTCGTGTTCCAGACTTTACTTTTGGCTCTGTCTAGTTCCATAATTCTAGATGTTTCTCGGATACCTTGCACAAATCTGTCATTGTTGTTAATTTACCCAACCTAAAACTAAAAGAAACGTTGCGAAAAAAAATATAGAAAAATTTGTGTCATGAAGCCGCCGACATAACTCATTGCAAGTCAATCATCAATAAATTGGCTAATATTATAAGAAGTCATATAGATAGTATATGTAGACTAATACCATAATAACCACCGAATGTGTGGATCTCATTGTGAGGCCTACAAGATCAATGGCTATAATAGTATTGATCTATATAGCGTGGGTATGTGTAATATAATTTGAATGATTTGGCACAACAAAGGTTATTCACAATCTAGCCTTGCTATTTTAATAAATATTTTGACTTCACGGTTTTCATAACATTATAGACAGATCAACAGGAGGTCGGTTCATTGGGCCCACTTTGCTCCGTTCGGGTCAAGGGGCAAAATAGACAAATCTAGGAAAGCAATTCTCTTCTTAGGCCTGGCACACTCACCTCGACCTGCCTAATACAACTTATTTTGTATAGAAATTCAAATAGTTTTGAGCAGGTAACATGTTTTGGATCCTCTTTTATATAAGAAGTGATTCTTCTTGGTGAATTACATCCAAGATGCGACTTACATTATGTAGCATTCAAGAGGAGCTTTGGGCTGTGACAATCAGTTGTGCAGTGTGCTCATAAATTACATTCCAAGTATTTGAAGTCATGAAAATATTTTATTAAGATTTTGTGTAATTGCTCTGCAAGATTGAGATATTGTTTCGTAATAAATTGTCAGAAAAGACATCGTGTGAGTAATTGGGTATAATTAGGGATAAGAAATACTTAGAATGCTTAAGTGACTCGAGTGTAATTGTAATACCTATTGTATTGCTTGATTTATAATAGAATAATGTACTGCTCACCGATTGAACCATATATGTTTTGTTCCATTTATTTATTGTTTTTCGCAATACTTTTGATCTAGATCAAGAAGCACTGGAATGCCACTTACGAGAAAACTCCTCATTTCCAATTTACAAGGAATTCGGCTTCAATATGACGTGTTCAGGCCTATTTCCTTTTAAAAGTCCCGCTAGGTGAACTAACTCACGATGATCATTTCCTACTAACTTCCAAATTCTTATCACCAACCCATCCCTCTCTTTCTCAGAGAAACATAAAACCAATCATAATGGAGGTGCTTCGCGCGGAATTCTGGAGGAAAATTTGGAACTCGTGGGAGCTGAGAGCCATGGTGGTGTTCACACTAGCGGTCCAAATCGTACTCGTTTTCTTCGGCCAAAAGAGGAAGTCCAGCTACAATCTCAAGCTCAGGATCGCCGTCTGGTCTGCGTACCTGACTGCGGACTCCGTGGCCACCGTCGCCCTCGGAGTCCTCTCCAGCAAGCTTGGAGACGTGAACGAGAGAAATGGCGGTCGCCTCGGTTACAACGACAAGTTGCTCGCGTTCTGGTCCCCACTGCTTCTGATTCTCTTGGGTGGCCCTGACACAATCACTTCCTATTCTCTGGAGGACAATGCACTCTGGCTCAGGCACTGCCTTGGCCTAGCGGTTCAAACGTCAGCCACAACATATATCATCTTCATGGCCTGGACAAGCTCTTATCTCTCCTACCTCTCATCGGTAATGGCATTGGTTGGACTCGTCAAGTACGGGGAGAGAGTGTGCGCTCTTTGGATGGCGAGCAACGACATGCTCAAGCAGTCGATGCTGGCCCCACCTGATCCGAGCCCGAATTACCCCCGCTTCATGGAGGAGTACACTTTGAAGCAGGCCGAGGGGTATTACGTTGTGGCTGACGAGGTGATAGAGGTCCAAGTGCCGGAAGGTATTCATAGTAATGGTGATGATCTGGCGGATGATTCTGAGGTCATTGTGAAATCCTATGACCTGCTTCAGATGTTCAAGTGCCTCTTTGTTGAGTTGATACTCAGCCATGATGAGAGGAATACTAGCAAGTTCATATTCAAGGCGATCGATCCTGTGAAAGCTTTTAGGATCGTTGAGATCGAGCTCGGGTTCATCTACGATTTGCTCCACACGAAGGCAATGGTGCTTTACACCAAGTGGGGAATCCGACTCCGCTTGTTCACTTTCTCGTCCACCCTGTTGGTGCTGGTGCTCTTCTCTTGGGCCAAGAAGTTGCACCTGTCGAGGGTCGATCTTTACATCACTTACTTGTTGCTGGCCGTCATTGTTTTCTTGGAGACCTATTCGATTTTGATGCTGGTTTCCTCAGATTGGAGCAACATTTGGTTGCGCAAGCACAACAAGAGCCGTGCCTTGAGACGTGCCGTGAACTTCGTAAGATTGCCTAGACAACCTAGGTGGTCGCATTCAATTGCCCAATTCAGCTTGCTCAGCTTTTGCACTAAGGAGAGGCCCTTGGTTTGCCACAATGTGGTTGAGTTCTTGAAGATCAATGAGAAGCTAGAGAAGTATCACTACACCCTCCATGAAGATGTGTCCGACGAGATTAGAAATTGGATCTTCAAACATGTCAAGGACGAATTTCTTGACGTGGAGGAGCGCCACGCGCCGGTTCCCATAGATATTCACGAATCTCTTGCTAAGCTACTCAAGGATTATCTCCTCGATCAAGTCACGTGGAGCACCAAAGGAGAACTAGACCAGATTGTCCTAAATTGGCACATCGCCACCGAACTATCGTACTACTCGGATCTATCGTACTACTCGGATCGAGAGAAAGGGTGGAACGAATCCAAACTCCCTCATTTTCGGACGAGCTTCCTTCTGTCCAGGTACATGTTTTATCTTCTGGTCATGTACCCTTCTATGCTACCTAGTGGAATCGGAGAAATAAGGCTCCGTGACACTTTCGCCGAGGCCTTCAACTTCTTCAAGGATCACCGAATACCCAATTCCGGATCTAATCAACAGCCCTATCGGTGGATGAAAAATTTAATGAATGATAGAGGGAATAGAAATGAAAATAACCCGCATCTTCAGCGAGCTACCAAAATGCTGCTAGAGGTGAGCACTGAGGTTCCACCAAGTAAAGTGAAGGGCGGAAAGAGCAAGTCGGTGTTGTTCGATGGATGCATGATCGTGGCGGCGATCAGAGATAGAGAAACAAGCATAAAGTGGGAAACGATCGGGGAGTTCTGGGTGAAGATATTGATGTACGCCGCGAGCCAATGTAGAGGGGATCGTCATGCTGGGCAGCTCAGGCGAGGGGGAGAGCTTCTAACCCATGTTTGGCTGATGATGGCTCATTTTGGCCTAACTGATCATTTCAAGATGACGCAAGGCCAGGCCATTGCTAAGCTCATATTGAGATAAGCCTTCGTCCGAGTTATGACAAATACTTATTCGGGTTTGGTCCATCTCGATCGTCATTGAACAAAGCCTTGCAGAAAAAAAAAACAACAAAGTTATATCTTTACTTCGTACACTTTTATCACATAAAGGTGAGGTGATCGGTCTATGTTACATGGTATTTAGTGGTTGATGCGAGCCAATTCAGTTACTGATCTAAGTTTTTAGAAGGTATTAAATATATGTCTTGCGTTTGAGCCTGTAAAGGAAATTTTTCTAATTTCAGTATGTTTCCTTTTTTGAGTAGTTTGGATCTAATTCCAGTCTCTATGAAAGCAGTGCGTCTTCTTTTTGAAGAGCATCGAAGAAGCAACTTCTTCATACGTTACATTCTAAAGCAATATGAGAGTATTGAAGCTAATTAAATCTTGTGATAAGATTGTTTAATTCATTTGTGAGATTGAAAGATTGTTTCGTAAGAAATTGTAAAGTTAAATATTATGTGAGTTATTGAGAGTAATTAGGAGTCAAAAAATACTGAGAGTATTTGAGTGACTCGAATGTGGTTATAATCTCCATTGTATCGCTTGACTTATGGGAAAAGTGTTGAAAAAGTCCTAAACCTTTTTCATTGATGCTAATTTAGTTTTAAACCTTTTTTTTTGTGCCAATTGAGTCCTAAACCTTTTGTTTTTGTGCAATTTCAATCCTTCCGGCTAATTTTGGTCGGATTTTGCTGACGTGGACGTCGCCGGCCGATCACCGTTGCCAATGTAGATAAATTTTAATATTTTTTGAATTTTTATTTATTTTTTCTTTTTTCTTTTTATTTCTTCTTCCTTTTCCTCCAGCCAGTCACCGGACCAGCAATCGGCCAGAGGCTAGAGGCCGGCGAGGTCGACCTCGCCGGTCTCTGGCGAGCCTTGCCATGGCTGGGTGAGGCTGGACCTCGCCAGATCCAGCGAGGTCGAACCTCACCCGGCCCTCGCCAGAGGCCGCGAGGTCGCAAGGGCCCTCACAGCCTCTGGCAAGGGCTGGGCGAGCCTCGCCATCGGCTAGGCAAGGCCTAACCATGTCGGCCAAGGCAAGCCTCCTCATGGCAGGGCGAGGCTCGACCTCACTAGATCCGGCAAGGCCGAATTTCACCGGGCCATGGTGAGGCTCGCCTGGCCATCTCCAGAGGCTGCAAGATCGCAGGGGCCCTCGCGACCTCTAGTGAGGGCCGGGCGAGCCTTGCCAGCCTAGCGCAAGGTTGCCTTTGTAGCCATCCGGCGAGGGGCCGCGAGGGCGAGCCTCACCAGTGGCTGACGTGGCTTGCCATAGGCCGACGAGGTCGCCAATCTGGCCTCTAGTCGGTCGCTGGTCTGGCGACTGGCTAGAGGAAGAGAGAGGAGGAAAAAAAAAGAAAAGAAATAAAGAAATAAAAATTCAAAAAAATATTAAAATATTATTAAAAGTTGTCACGTCGTAGGCAGAACCGGCCTGGCTAACCTAGTTGCCACGTCCACATCAGCAAAATTCAGCCAAAATTGAATGGGAAGGATTGAATTAGACTCAAGACAAAAGGTTTATGATTCAATTGGCACTAAAAATAGGTTTATGACTCAATTAGCATTAATGTAAAAGGTTTAGGACTTTCTTGACACTTTTCCCCTTGATCTATAGTAGAATTTTATGTTGGTCTCCCAGTGAACAGAGGCCATACTGACCAAACCACGTAATATAGTGTTTGATTTTATTTACTTGTTCTGTTTATATTATTATTCAATCGTTTGTTTTCTGCAATAATTGGTATCAGAGTTGAACTCAGTTGACTCGAAGCGACTTGACGGCAATAGATGAAGGCAAAGTGAAAATCGATTGATTTGATGAGAAGGAATTTGATTTCTAAAAAATGCAGATTGTGGATTATCTTAAACAAAGGAATATGCTGTGGCGCTCCAGAATGTCAAGTGCAATAATTGTCGTTTACTATATTTGTTTATTTATTTATATCCTATACTATTCTTATCATTATTTTTAAACATGCAAAAACATAGTAAAATATCTACACTTCATCCCAAGAAATCAAACTAGTTCAGTTAATATACACATGCATCTTTCGTTAATATCAGTCATTCCTATATTGACACAAACATCCAAAAGGAAAATACAATACATAACTAAGTCCTGAGAATGGGTCGGGGTTACCTAGCACCACTATAAACATACTAGTCAAAAGCTTGCGTGTAGATCACTCAAACCCCCACCCGACTTAAGGGTTCATGACTTCGGGCATCATTACATCACCTCCGTCGTCATGACTAGGTGGACCATCATATCATCTCAATGGTCCAACCACCTCGCCATTAACGTTGGCATACCATGTGACAAAACGATGAGGGATCAACTTTGGTAGCCCTACATCGACCTAAACACTGGAACTACATTTATTATGCACTATTTGAAAACTCGATACACGTATGTTCGAATAGTCACAATCAAAATAAGCAAGCACTCCAAAACGTAAATGCTGGTGGAGGATCCATTCTACATATTTGTAAAATAAAGGAGCCAAAACCTAGTAAATGAAATCTCTAAGTTTAAAGTAAGAGATCATCTTACCACTTGGCCCAATATCAAATACAATAGTGTGAATTTAAAATATTTGCATGTACAAAATGAAGGTGGGTAAATGCATTAATTTTCTATCATGATATGCAATGAAAGTGACAAGACAATGTGGCATAAAAATCATTTACTTAAATGCAAGAAAACAACATATTATTTCATGATGTGCAAATAGTAGCTCGCCGATATACACAAGAAAGTATCTAGCCCTACTTGTCTCTTGGCAACACTTAATTTGACTAAGGAGACATCATCACCATCAACTCGTGGGGGACGAAATCATAAACTCATCTAGCCATGCCACTTAGCACATCCGTGATGGTGTCCTCTAGATCATAAAAGATAAATACACCATTGGGTTGGGGCTAATGAAGCAACCTATATGGGGTGAATAGGTTGTTTTGACATTTTTGAAGATTATGCAGAAATCAACCGCTAATTATCGGGAATCGGGAGAAGGAGATGATATTAAGATCAAGTGGAGCTAATGTGCAGCAGAATTGTTGACACCTGATTTTTAGCAGTCGAGTAGGTCGCAACTTCCTTATGGATATACAAAAGGTGTAGAATAGCAAAAAACATTAAAAAAAAAAAAAAGGAACTGGTTCGACCCGATCCGCTCCGGGCCAGTTCGATCCCACTCGTCGAGGTCGGGCTCCAGCCCTCTCCCTGACCCATTTCTTTTACCTTTTCTCGGCCCGGTCCTCGCCTGCCTTCCTCTTTTTTCCTCTCTCTCTCTTTTGCACGTGCTGGGAGAAGAAAGAGCTATACCAGGCGTCTAGCTGCAATTTCTGAGGGAGTGGCAGAGAGAGCACACGCAGAAAGTCAGGGAGGGAGACTGAGCTAAACAGGGAGACTGAGAAGAAAAAGAAACGGGGAAGAGCGGCTAGTTGGGGAAAGGGGGAAAAGAGAGAGAGGGACCGAGAGTGACAGAGGGAGAGAAAAAGGGGAGAGGGAACCGAGAGAACAGGAAGGAGAGGGAGAGAAAGCGAGACAGAGAGACCGGGTGAGAGAGTTGAGAGGTCGAGAGCAGAGAGTGAGGCCAAGAACGAGTGGGTACCCTCCGGTAGCGGCCGCACCTAAGCCTTGGCCGACGATCCCCGCCGACATTCCCCTTTTCCCCGCGTCAAGTACACGGTAAGGCCTGGATATTTTTCTTTCGATTTTCCCGATTTGGGTCGCTTTCCCGAGGATTCCGGCTCGGGGACATGCGAGGCGACCGTACTGAATCCGAAATATCTCCAGTTCGCCATCTATTCATCGTCGCCGTCGCCGAGCCAGGTAGGGCCATCTCCGGCGACAAAGTCCCCGGTTTCTTGTGCTCTGTTTTTCTTGTGCCGTTCTCCGTTTTATGCTCATGTTTAGTGCGAAGGAATCGTCTCTGAGTCGACGTTGAGCATTGCTTGTTTGCTGTATGATAATTTTGGCTTGAGTTCATGCCTCGGATGCCTCCGGACGCCCCTCTCAGTCGGTGCCTACTAGATGTTCGACCTAATGCCTGAGTCGGATCTATGGATGTTTTCGCCGAGTTGGTTCGGTGCTCGATTTTTATTGGGTTTGTGCATATCCTGCTTGAGCATTTTTAAAAAATTTATGACACTAAATTGATCAATTAAAAGTTTCGGCAGTCAAGTGGCGACTTTTGTGGCATGAACTACTTCAGGGCCTTCCCACCCATTTTTTACACAATAATTTTACCTTATGTTTTACCTGAAGTCACCACGGATAAGTCACCACGAATATCACTATCGATCACTAGTAGAAAAATTTCGGCAAATGCTTAATAGTGTTCTTTCCTAAGTTGTGAAAACGGAAAAGGAACAATTGTTATCGTGGACACAAAATCTTTCATAACATTAAAATCTCAACAAATCTGAGGGTCCAATTCAGTAACAGTTAACGTAATAATAACAGCAATTCACAACCTCACAAAGAGGTGTAACAATTCAGTTGCTCATCATAGCAATTCCACGTCGCCTCTCATAACTAACTCGGCTTGCCTTCTCATCCGCGCCACCAAGTACAGGCGAGACCATGATACACCTCACAACACTAAAAATCACAGCATCCGTCAAACCTAACACGAGACACACTTCATCCAATCCTCGGAAGAGTTCACCCTTCCAAAATCAAAGTAACGGAAAAGGCACCACAATACCAGGACAAACTGGGAGACTCAACAACACTGCAAGCTTGGTTTATGCATAAATGGAACAATAAAAAATGGGAACCAAAGTAAATCAGGAACACCGCGCAGCTAACTAGTCAACTCTGTTGTTTGTGTGAATTAACCAAATTTGAGAACATGGGCAAGCATAAAAATCGTGACTTGATTGATACTGAATGAAAAAGACGAACTTGAACTGCGACGAGAGACAATACCTCGGATGGGTTTTCTTCAAGCTCGAAATATGTGAAGAAATTCGTAGACTTTCGAGCTCCAACGCCGAAAAAGAACGAGGGATTGAATGCGAAACCGGCTCAATCGCAAACGAAGATGCGGTATGTAAGAACGGACTGTATTGAAAAGGGGTGTTCCTGCGTGAGACGAAGAAAGAGAGAGAGATGCGCGCGCTAGGAATGTAACTTTGTCCGAGGCCCTGCCTCTGATAGAGGGAGGAACTGGTTTTCTGGTTTCGCTCGATTCTTTCACATGTGCAGGCTGCGGATGCCTGCGTACTTGTAATAAATTCCTCCTTAATTTTTTTTTACTCAACACGAAATTATATAGGTTTACACTATAATTTTAAAAGGATATCCTAAGGGCACCACATTTTAATCTACGGATGCCGAAAATGCGATACCCACAAAGGATAAAATAGCTAAAATATTATAAAAGAAGTGTATTATTAAAAGAGGAAGTGGGAAAAGGCGCGATAAAAAAAATATTAGAAAAAAGACAACGATAATGGGCAGCTCTTCTTTAATTGGACGAGGTCACTAGTAATCACTAATTGGTGGTACTCCTCGACAGTGACCCAGGCATACGAGTCATCGTCTTTCGTAGCATTCGTTATCATTCTTTGTAGAGAGTCCCAGTCTGAGTCTACTACCTCGCATCGCTCAACTCGTCACTGTCCCACATCGAGTTTCGTCCTTCAACCTGAGATTTTGCTCCGATCGTGTGAAAATACCCGAGGTTCGTTCTTGCTTCTCCTGCGAAACGTCGTGCCATTTTGATCGTCTCTCTCCTTTGATTCGAGTGCGCAGAGTAACTCCTCTGCTCTGCCACTTTTTTGAGCATCCGTAGCGTCAGCGATGCAGAAAGATTTGTTTTTTTTTTGTGCGCATGCAGTCATGACTGGCGAAAATTCATTGACCCGTCGTCATGTAGTTGTTTGTGGTAAAGGTTTATGTGGGTGGTTGGGCTAGCGCAGGATACTGAAATGGTTGGGCTGACTCGTTCTCGAGATCGTCGTAGCGTGCTGATAGGTTCAGGTTCAGCTATGTGTGACTTTACGAGTCACCCGAGCTTCAGAGGAACGGCAAGCATGTTGATGAAGTATGGTGCCATGTGCGAAATGACTTGGGTTGATTACTGGCAGAATATGACAAGGACTTGATTCTGTTCTAAATTTACGATCGCCATTCCATACCTTTCGTTCTTCTGTTTATATTTAGTATGAATTCGTGTGGCCACCGTTAAGTTGCAGATATGCCGTTAGTTCACAGTAAGGGTATGCAATGGACTAGCGACATGCTTTGAAGTAAGATGATATGATTTTGCTACTTATGTCGGTGTTTGTTAATGAGTCGCATCTTGATTCCAGGACCATATATGAAGGAAAGAGTATTTGTAGGGCTATGGTTGTGGTCACCTTGTTGTCGACAATCAAAATTCGTGTAGTCACATGTAGGAGAAATTGTTAAGCTGTTGAGTTAATAACACTTAATATTTTCACTCAGGAAACATGGCCGAGGATCCTGTCAACGTGAATGAGTATCAAGAATTGGCTAGGCAAGCCCTTCCAAAAATGTACTATGATTTTTATGCGGGGGGAGCGGAAGACCAGTATACACTTAAAGAGAATGTGGAAGCATTTCGCAGAATAACGTAATGCCTAATGAATGCTGGTCAGATTAAAATCTGCAGCAGCCATATTTTGTTGTGTGTTAATTCTCAACACTGAATGTTTTGGTAGAAGATATAATTTCTTGTATTTCTGGCAGGTTTAGGCCGAGAATCCTCATTGATGTGAGCAAAATTAGTTTGTCGACTACTATATTGGGCTATCACGTTTCTGCCCCCATTATGATTGCTCCAACTTCTATGCATAAGTTAGCACATCCTGAAGGTGTGAAACCTGAATTTTCTTGGAGGAGCTCTTTCACACGTTTCCTTGTTTTGATTTTAATGATGCAATTTTTCATCTTTTAGGAGAGGTTGCTACCGCAAGAGCAGCTGCTGCATCTAATGTCATCATGGTAATAGATTACCAAATATTTTTTATCTTAAATTTGCTGCTATAACATACTCAATTCACCTTTTACTCTAGATTCTTTCATATTCGTCTATGTGCACTGTGGAAGAGGTTGCGTCCAGCTGTGATGCCATTCGATTCTTTCAATTATATGTAAGCATCCACTTCATTAAGAATCTCCAGTTTTCTTGGCTTTGTACATTCTCCATTAAGATTTCATCTCATTAATCAATGCATCTCCTTATGTAGGTATTCAAGAGACGGGATATTACGGCTCAGCTAGTACAAAGAGCTGAAAGAAGTGGATACAAAGCTCTTGTTCTTACTGTCGATGTTCCCAGACTTGGCAGAAGGGAGGCAGACATAAAGAACAAGTAAAATGCTTTCCTCTCCCTCTCTTGCTCCCCCACCCCTCTTGGGGCATGGATATCATGGTCTTAAAACAAAGTTCGGGTATAGTTAAACTCTCTCTCTCTCTCTCTCTCTCTCTCTCTCTCTCTCTCTCTCTCTCTCTCTCTCTATGACAGAATGATAGCGCCTCAGTTGAAGAATTTTGAAGGTCTATTCTCAACTCAAGTTGTCTCTGTGAGTGAATGATTTCTTTTCTATTTGAGGATCTGACAATAGCAATATATTTTTACCTATTCAATGGAGATGCATGCATGAGGAGATATCTATGTTCCTAATATCTCATCGACCAATCTCCTTTGATGGCATGGAGGCTGTTTTCGTCATTATCTTTGTACCCTGCTATATGCTGCTCTATTTTTTTGGAGTCTGTAACCCTCTTTGACATTAGCAAGGTAGCAAAACAGAAAGAAATGCTCACTATGGCATTGATCTTTGGGGATATCATGGTATTAGGCTCAGCCCAGTGGAGATTTATTCCATGAGCTCTGTCCTTCTCTCATGTAGAGCTGCCCTTGGGGCAAAGAGTATTGTATTCGTTGGCGCTCTTTTCTCTATAACTGTTCCGTTTGATTATATCTGTATCTGGAGTAGTTTTTTTATAGTTCATTTGCTTAGAGAACACAATTTTTTACCGTTGTATCTTGGGGTGAAGAAACAAAGGGTTCGGATAACATCAGGCCAAAGAAAATGTTGACCAATGAAGATGTTTACGCTGCCTAAATAACCTCTAGAGAGATATGTCAAATTTTTATAGTTTGTTAAATGCAGAAATTGGGCATAACATCTCCCTCACTCATTCTTCCCTTTTCCTTTGCCTCCACTGCAATTTGCAGGATGAGGGTTCAGACTTCAAAGCTTATGCTGATTCAACTTTGGATGCTTCTTTGAGTTGGAAGGTGAACCTTCATACCATCATAAACTACTTTGTAATTAATCCTTGAAATTTTTTCTGGGTAATGTTTCAACAAAAGAATTGCGTTTCTGAATGAATGAGACGTGTGAGGTCGTGTCATCCAGTGTAGAAATAGTTTTGATAGCCATCTTACGATGACTTTTTTCATTCAATTTTTGCTTGTCGTCATGACCTACGAATGATAACTGGATCTTTATAATGTCTCTATTTGCTTTATTTGGTATCTTGGTTGTCACATAACTAAATTACATTTCTGCAGGACATTGGATGGTTGAGATCAATTACAAAATTGCCGATTCTGATCAAGGGAGTTCTTACACACGAAGATGGTAAGATCTAGGATTGTATTCTAAAAGAAAAGCAGTTGAGGATTCCTCTGAAGACCTCTTTGTGCATTAATTTGAACCATTGCTTACTTAGCATATTCATTGCTTTGACCAGTGTTCCAGAACTGGATCAGAGATTGAGCCGAATTGCTGTCCCATAACAGGTTGAACTAATCAAAAACGGCAAAAAAATGTGGCTAAAACCTTCTGGTTTGGTTTTAAAAAGGCTAGCTTAAACGAGAAGTTTTATTTTAAGATGGCTTATGACCTGGAAAAATCTGTACTTTGAGGATCCTTATTATTTTATCCCAGAGTTGAGAAGATATTACCTTGAACTTCATTATCTGCTTCAAATCAATCTGTCAACCAATTTTCAGGTAGCGTGGCCATAAGTAGCAACTGACAAGGCCATCTGTCTTTGAGCTAATTTGGCATCGATTCTTTTAATAAATAAAAATTTTAACCACATTTGCATACATGACCAAAAGGATCATTGTATTTAAAAGGAAAGTCAAGAATGACGGCTTGAGAACTTGTCAACTGTGCCATAATCTATTTTTGCATTCTCATTTGTGCTAGATTTGATGGAATTGGTTAGGGTTTTTTATTAGCATAGAATCGTGTGTGTGCTGTTGTTTTATTTTATATGAGGTCTATAGTGAGCACCACGTCATTGCCAGTTCATCACCGTATAAACAGTTCCATCGGTATTATACAATACATTGACACTATAGCGAACAGTTAGGTACGATTTAATTGACATTGAAGGTCAGGATAGTGTGAAAACCAGTTTGAGGCTTAATGTAGAACTGAAAAAAATCTGTCAAGCGCAGGAGAATTTTGTGATAACTTAGGGTTTGATTGTATATCTAGTTTGTTGAGTGTGAACCTCTAGCATTAAACTTTGAAGATTCTTCAGTTCATCTTGAAAGGAAACAACATGATGCCTCAATTGGTTTGGTAGTTCAAAGACCATAGTTATTCTGTTGGGGAAGTTGTATGAGTAAGGAATTTTGATGGTAATGGGATATTTTGTCTTCATTTTGTCATCGCTGCTATCAAGACCTTGTGTTCTCTGATATTGGATTGAAGCATCTTATTCATCTATTGACATTTCATATTGCTTCTCGATTATCCGTATCTGTTGTTACTACTATTGGTTGTTGCGTACTCGACAACCTGATCAACAAGCTTGTATGTCCTCATTGGCAGCAATTATGGCAGTGGAAGCAGGTGCAGCAGGGATAATTGTCTCCAATCATGGAGCTCGACAGCTAGATTATAGTCCAGCCACGATATCAGTTCTGGAAGAGGTACGTATTTTTACTAACTTCTTTGTCCGGCAGGTTTAATAATAGATTCTAGAATTTGGAGCATTTGTAAACACAGGATAAGAATAAATGTACCCGGTTTTGATCCCTGAAAATAAAGCACAGTGCAATTCTGTTTCCCTCTATTTTTACAAATGCATGATAGCTTGTGCTGCAGCAAGTCATCTATATCAAACAGCATTTTGGTCATGACTGTTTTTAAACCTTCGTTTGTAGATTGTTCATGCAGTCAAAGGGAAAGTCCCTGTTTTTGTTGATGGAGGAGTGCGGCGAGGATCAGATGTTTTCAAGGCATTGGCCCTCGGGGCACAAGCAGTTCTGGTACAATCTTTTAATTAGTTTGGCACATTCCTGATATTTCCCGATGTGGACTATCTGCTATATTAGTAAGGGGTATCGTAACAAACCCTTGAGGCATTTGGGTAATAATATCATGCCAAGTTAGTAGAAACTATCTTTTCACATTACCAAAACACCTGAATCACAAATGAACAAGTACCCTAGGACAAATGTTGACGTTCTCCTAATAGCAGTCTTCTTACTACAGATAGGAAGGCCTGTAGTATATGGGTTGGCAGCAAAAGGGGAAAGTGGAGTTAGAAGGGTCACTGAGATGCTGAAGGATGAGCTCGAGCTTACGATGGCACTATCTGGATGTCCCACCATAAAGGATATCACCAGGGGCCATGTCATAACAGATTGCGAGAGACTTCATTCCTCTCTCTAAATTCGCGCTGCAGCATCCATGAAGATAAGATTCACATAGGTAAATAAACGATGCCCTTGTTGTATTATCGCTTTTAGTTTGCGATGTTATGTGACTAGTTGTCATGTTTCATGATCAAAAATAAAATTGGAGTCAGAGTCAGAGCATCAGTATAGATTTGTGATGGTCAAAGCTGGTTTTTTCTTGGTTCATCAGTAGATGTTAATGTCAAATAGTACTTTTGAGCATCAAATTTGAAGCATAAAATCCTTGTAAGACATGTAATTGATCCGTCTCTTTTGACTCTACTACCTTCCAATCAACTTTGCCAAGTCAGTATCATCACGAATGTCCTCTAAATGATGCGAAAGAACAGTGCTTCCCACCAGCAGAAGGCTGGGTAAAATTAATTACAGACATGAGTGCTTTTCGGAAGTGAATAATGGATTGGATGCTCCTGTGTTTGTGCAAGTCCTGAGAGTACATTTTTGCCCCTAGTCATCCTCTACTATCCTCCTGCAGCCTTGGGGACTCTCTGTTATTAGCTGCTACTTCTACCCTCGTAGCCCAAACCAGCAGGTAATAGCGATTATTCCTGCATGTACTCCAATGAAATTTAATTTTAGCCTTTTATTCCAACACAAGGTTCAAGAACATTGACAAACCAGATTAAACATTGTCCCGCGGAATCTGGTAAGAGGTTCCAAGTCATATACATTTCCCCAGAGCCAAAATTGGAACCCAGATGAAGAAAATGAAACGAGTGAAGTTCACCTCCCTCTAATCACTTGGCCAATGGTTGTGCATGAGTCTACTTCTGCTCTTGTTTGCGGAATGGATCCTACGGATGCAGAAAGATACAGTATAGCGCAGACCGTAAAGAATCCACACAGACGTGGTGATGTTACGTTACTGCATGTCAAGTAAGAAAGAAATTTTTATCAAAGACAATATCTTTAAGTGGAGACAAAATGCAAAGCGTGCAATATCATTTCACAAGCTCAGACTAGTCTAGCTTTAAACAAACAGGATAGCACATGCATGGTTTCAGTTTTCACGATTAAATAGACTTACTACCTCTGGGCAGTTAGATGAACCTTAATCAGATATGTGGCTCAGGCATTACCGATTTACAACATGTCAACTTTTCATTGTCCAGTTTCTGTATGTTGTACAATAGATGCTGTGGTTAGAAAGTTTCGTTAGAACATCCCTCATGACTCAGGAGAAAACCCTGTTCCTAGCTCTAAAACCATGGCCTTGTTTGCTACGTAAACTCAGTTTGAGGATGATGGTTGATGCAAACAAAGTCCGGGGTTAAGTTTTAAACATCCCAGGCCATTGGCCACAGAGATCTATTTTGTACAGCCCAGAATCTCTCACAAACGGACGATCCCACCAACAGATACTTGCTCGGAGAAAGATTCTAGATGATAGAAGCATCTGGGTTCCGTATGTTCTAGTGGATTCATCTTATGCAAGGCTAAAGATTCGAAAAGTTGGTTATCTGACTCGACCTCATATTTATTATACCATTGGTGATGGAAAATTTACTTGACTACGGCATAATGAGCAGGATTATTTCAGTGCTCTAGCTTGTACAAGGTAGCGCGACATCTTATTCCGGGTTTGCAGTGGCGAGCCGATTAGCCGATCCAACAAGAGGGATACATTGTTATTGCCTGCAGCTATAAGTGAGGAAATCGGTGAAGATTCAGACCAAACAACAGCTGATGACGGACCAGTTGCAGCATTGATGCTCCTAATTGGCCCGCAGCTAAACCAATCCCTAATGCAATCGAGCTGCATGTCACTGTCCACGAATTACTACATTCAACACATTAAACCCCGAGTAACACCGGACGCCCCTCTCGAGGAAAAGAGGTCATTGGCTCGAGTGTTAACCACTCCTGTGTGTGTTTCCATTATTGATGATAAATTCAAAAGTTAACACACCAAAATGGAAAGGCCTTGAGAATAACTGCCAAGACTAGACGGACCGAAAAGACCTTTTGGACTTCTTGATAATTGTCACACCGCGATTACCTCACATAAAGCCAATGACTTGTCAAATGAACAGTCGGGTCGGATCGGATCGGATCGAAAATGGTCCAACTTAAATAGATCTATTTAATCCGTTTTGACCAATTCAAATCTAATGATCCATACTCGACCCAACTTATATTACTAAAAATTTTCATATTTAATTCAATTTAGGAAGATTCACACCTAAACTGAGATGAGAGTACAGAGTGAGAGAACACGAGATTAAGCGAGGGCAAGAAAGATGAGTCGACTTTTAAATAAGTTGTAAACTCATTTACGATCCATTTAACACCCATATTATATTTACACCAATTTACGACTCATTGATTGTTATATTGTTTAAGAAATGAGTTTATGATCCATTTTGATAGTTTTACGCCACACCAACCGCAAATGGTAATAGACTTATGATGCAGGTTCATATTCTTACAATGTCGTGACTCCTGAGTTCGAACTTGTTTGTGATGGTGGTCCAAGTACTTTTCACTCCGATGGGTGAGATTTTAGATCTTCAGCACCTCGGGTGGGATTATAGTGATGGAGCTTCTCCACGATGGAGCTAGTAAGCAGTCTTTGACGGCTCTAGCTACGTAAACAGATCATATTTGGTGTAGAGTTAAAGACCTCTCTGCAATCTTAAATTCGCAAAATTCCATAACAGCAGACGGGTATGAATTACGTTGGCCAAAAAACTGAATGTCATGGATCGATACGTCAAGTTGGCGAAGAGAATTTGAACAACGCGAATAATGCATTATTTCACTTTCTTTTGCTTCAAGTTCGAATACCCGATTCACAGTAAATAGTATCGTACAAATTCGATTATGGAAGGTCTACATGAAACCTACTATCAATAATATCGTGTAAGATTGCGATCGATGCACTCCATGATGAATCGCGTCTATAATAGATTGAGTCATAAATTTGATAGAGAAATATAGTTTAACTTGTTTAACTGATTCACAACATATTGTATATCCATAATTGTATATTGATACAAATTAATATAGGTTTTCCGTATGACTATTTGCACCTCTTATCAGCTTCTCACATCCACTTTTACAATGATTCGACTACATTATTTCTCACGGGTCTCACTCTTGATTAAAAATTATTTCGTACTTTTTCTTTCTTCGTTTTCTTCTATTTCAATTTTACTGAAACGAAAATATTCGTACTCCTCTCAGACAACATTTATTAAATTAAATAAGGGGCCCAATTTTTTTTATTTAAGATTATTGCTTGCCTTCTTTTATTTTTTTTAATTTTTGGTTTTTTCCTTTTCTTTCTCCATTTATAACAAAATTGGTGTACCTCTTTTCCCAAAAATAGTTTACCTGGTAGATAGCTAACTAATATTGTGTTTCCAACAAAAAAAAAACTAAGTTAATGAGTTGTCTATTTCTTTTTTTTTTTGTACTGAGAAACTATTACTCAAAAAACAACTTAAGCATAAGTAAGAGTTAAAAAAATCATTTACAATTATAATTTTAATATGATTCATTACGTTGTAGTTCATGTATTTTAACCGCTCAACTTTCATTTTATTCGGTGAATGTAATAATCTAATTTTTAATTATTTATCATGTGATGCATTCAATATTTTGAGTGGTCATGATCCGTTCTTCTTTTTATAGCAAAACACTCTAAAAGGCCAATCAATCAAAGGAGGCCCGGTCTTTCTTCTGACTTGCAATAGGAATACTATGTCGATCACGATAATTACCTTTCATATCACAACTAAGAAGAATATATTTGTCTCTGTTTGACCTTTTTATAGAAACAAAATAACCCTAAGCAAGAAGATACGTCCGCACACTTCTTGAAAGATCCTCTCGTGTTAGAAAATTACCCGGTAAAGTTTCAAATGAACTTGTTGAGATGATTGATTGCTATTTTCGCCATTCGTAGTTTGATCATCAATAGATACATTTAAGCAGAAAACAATAGTGTCTTTCCATAGTGACTGTACAACAAAAAAAAAAAACAATCAAAGATGAATAAATTGTGGATAATGCAAACATCAACCAAAATATTCAGTCTTTAAGTAAATTCTCGTAAATTTGTACAAAAAATGGAAGTCGAAAAATTCACAACCATGAAAATAATCTAGGGAAGTAAAGTATACAATTTGCAGATAAAACTAATCTTTCTTTATTCTAATACATGATTAGTGCTTGCTCAGATTGTAATGTTGGAAATAAGTTCAGAAGAGGATAAATTACCAAGGGAATGTAACGGGTGCGGAAGAACTGGCTTCCATGAAAAAACATGTTATTTGGAAGGGACGTTTTCGTCTTTTAATAAAATTGAAAAAAAGAAGGAAGAATAAACATAAGAAATGATTTTAAATATGGAATGGGACGTGCATGAATTATCCTCATCCATAGCTTCATTATAATATATACTGAAGAGAGTCAACTTCCTCGTATCGCTCAACTCCTCACTGTCCTAAATCGAGTTTCGTCCTTGAACCAGAGATTTTGCGCCGATCGTGTGAAAAAACCCAAGGTTCGATCTTGCTTATCCTGCGAAACATCGTGCCATTTCGATCGTCTGTCTCCTTTGATTCGAGTGCGCAGGGTAACTCGTCTGCTCTGCACTTTCTTGAGCATCCGTAGCGTCTGCGATGCGGAAAGATCGCATTTTTTTTTTGGTGCGCATGCGGTCATGACTGGCGAAAAATTCATAGACCCGTCGTCATGTGGGAGTTTGTGATAAAGGTTCATGTGGGTGGTTGGGCTAGCGCAAGATCCTGAAATGGTTGTGCCGACTCGTTCTCGAGATCGTCGTAGCGTGCTGATAGGTTCAAGGTTCGGCTATGTGTGACTTCATGAGTCACCCGAGCTTCAGAGGAACGGCGAGCATGTTGATGAAGTATGGTGCCATGTGCGAAATGACTATGACAAGGACTTGATTCTGTTCTAAATTTATGAGCCGCGTGTGGCTTTGATGTTGATTGCGTTTTGATATGTTTGCGTGCTGTACTTTTGGCTGTAGATACGGCGAGGGATGTGGGTGCATTACGATCGCCATTCCATACTTTTCGCTCTTCTGTCTAGATTTAGTGTGAATTCGTACAGGCACATTCAAGTTGCAGATATGCTGTTAGTTTATGGTAAATTGTTTTAGATCTTTTGTAGGTTCATTTGCTTGATGTTTTATTTTGCGTGCTCTTAGTAAGGGTATGCAATGGACTAGTGACATACTTTGAAGTGAGATGATATGATTTTGCTAGTTACGTCGGTATTTGTTTATAAGTTGCATCTTGATTCTAAGACCATATATGAAGGGAAGAGTATTTGTAGGGCTATTGTTGTGGTCACCTTTTTGTTGACAATCAAAATTCGCGGAGTCACATGTAGGAGAAATTGTTAAGCTGTTGAGTTAATAACACTTTATATTTTCATTCAGGAAACATGGCCGGGGATCCTGTCAACGTGAATGAGTATCAAGAATTGGCTAGGCAAGCCCTTCCGAAAATGTACTATGATTTTTTTGCAGGTGGAGCGGAAGACCAGTATACACTTAAAGAAAATGTGGAAGCATTTCGCAGAATAACGTAATGCCTAATGAATGCTGGTCAGATTAAAATCTGCACCAACCGTATTATGTTGTTTGTTAATTCTCAACACATGTATTTCTGGCAGGTTTAGGCCGAGAATCCTCATTGATGTGAGCAAAATTTGTTTGTCGACTACCATATTGGGCTATCACGTTTCTGCCCCCATTATGATTGCTCCAACTGCTTTGCATAAGTTAGCACATCCTGAAGGTGTGAAACCTGAATTTTCTTGGAGGAGCTCTTTCACACATTTGCTTGTTTTGATTTTAGTGATGCAATTTTTCATCTTCCAGGAGAGGTTGCTACCGCAAGAGCAGCTGCTGAATGCAATGTCATCATGGTAATATATTACCAAATATTTTTTATCTTAATTTTGCTGCTATAACATACTCAATTCAACTTTTTACTCTAGATTCTTTCATATATGTCTATGTGCACTGTGGAAGAGGTCGCGTCCAGCTGTGATGCCATTCGATTCTTTCAAATATATGTAAGCATCTATGTGATTAAGAATCTCCAGTTTTCTTGGCTTTGTACATTCTCCATTAAGATTTCATCTCAATAATTAACGCATCTCCTTGAGCAGGTATACAAGAGACGGGATATTACAACTCAGCTTGTACAAAGAGCTGAAAGAAGTGGATACAAAGCAATTGTTCTTACTGTTGATGTTCCCAGACTTGGCAGAAGGGAGGCAGACATAAAGAACAAGTAAAATGCTTTCCTCTCCCTCTCTTGCTCCCCCACCCCCATTGGGGCATGGATATCATGGTCATAAAACAAAGTCTGGGTACAGTTAACTCTCTCTCTCTCTCTCTCTCTCTCTCTCTCTCTCTATGACAGAATGGTAGCACCTCAGTTGAAGAATTTTGAAGGTCTACTCTCAACTCAAGTTGTCTCTGTGAGTGAATGATTTCTTTTCTATTTGAGGATCTGTCGATAGCAATATAATTTTACCTATTCAATGGAGATTCATGCATGGGGATATATCTATGTTACTAATATCTCATTGACCAATCTCCTTTGATGGGCATGGAGGCTGTTTTCGTCATTATCTGTGTACCCTGTTATATGCTGCTCTATTTTTTCAGAGTTTGTAACTCTCTTTGACATTAGCAAGGTAGCAAAACAAAAAGAAATGTTCACTGTGGCATTGATGTTTGTGGATATCATGGTATTAGGCTCAGCCTAGTGGAGATTTATTTAATGAACTCTGTGCTTCTCTTGTGCAAAGCTTGCCCTTGGGGCAAAGAGTATTGTATTCATTGGCTCTCTTTTCTCTATAACTGTTCTGTTTGATTATATCTGTGTCTGGAGGAGTTTTTTTTATAGTTCATTTGCTTAGAGAACATAATTTTTACCGTTGTATCTTGAGGTGAAGAAACAAGAAACAAAGGGTTTGGATAACGCGAGGCAACAGAAAATGTATGGTCAATACTTGACCATTGAAAACATTTTCGCTGCCTAAATAACCTTATAGAGATGACTCAAATTTTTATAGTTTGTTAATTGCAGAAATTTGGCATAACATCTCTCTCACTCTCGCTCCCCTTTTCCTTTGCCTCCGCTGCAATTTGCAGGATGAGGGTTCAAACGTACAAGCTTTTGCTGATTCAACTTTGGATGCTTCTTTGACTTGGAAGGTGAACCTCCATACTATCTTAAATTACTTTGTAATTAATCCTTGAAATTTTTTCTGGGTGATGTTTCATCAAAAGAATTGTGTTTTCTGAATGAATGAGATGTGTGAGGTAGTGTCATCCAGTGTGGAAATAGTTTTGATAGCTATCTTACGGTGACTTTTTTCATTCAATTTTCGTTTGTCGTCATGATCTACGAATGATAACTGGATCTTTATAATGTCTCTGTTTGCTTTATTTGGTATCTTGGTTGTCACGTAACTAAATTACAATGCTGCAGGACATTGGATGGTTGAGATCAATTACAAAATTGCCGATTCTGATCAAGGGAGTTCTTACACACGAAGATGGTAAGATCTAGGATTGTATTCTAATAGAAAAGCAGTTGACGATTCGTCTGAAGACTGTTTTGTGTCTTAATTTGAAATATAGCTTACTTAGCATATTCATTGCTAAAACCAGTGTTCCAAAACCAGATTAGAGATTGAGCCGAATTGCTGTCCCATACCAGGTTGAACTGATTGATATCGGCTAAAATCTGTGGCTAAAAAACCTTTTGGTTTGGTTTTAAAAACACTAGCTTAAGCGAGAAGTCTTATTTTAAGATGGCTTAAGACCTGGAAAAATTTGCACTTTAAGGATCCTTTTAATTTTATCCCAGAGTTTAGTAGATATTACCTTGAACTTCATTAATTGCTTTAAATCAATCTGTCAACCAATTTTCAGGTAGCGTGGCCATAAGTAGCAACTGACAAGACCGTCTGTTTTGATCTAATTTGGCACTGATTCTTTTAATAGATAAAAATTTTAACCACATATGCATACATGAGCAAAGGGATCATTGCATTTACAAGGAAAATAAAATGAAAGTCAAGAATGACGGCTTGAGAACTTGTCACCTGTGCCAAAATCTATTTTTGCATTCTGATTTGTGCTAGATTTGATGGAATTCATTAGGTTTTTTCAATAGAGCAGATTCGTGTGCGTGCTGTTGTTTTATTTTAGATAAGGTCTATAGTGAGCACCACGTCATTGCCAGTTCATCACCGTATAAACAGTTCCATCAGTAATATACAATACATCGACACCATAGCGAACGGTTGGGTACACGATTAAATTGACATTGAAGGTCAGGATAGTGTGAAAACCAGTTTGAGGCTCAATGTAGAACTGAAAAAAATCCGTTCAGCAAAGGAGAATTTTGTGATAACTCGGGGTTTGATTGTATATCTAGTTTGTAGAGTGTGACCTCTAGCATTAAACTTTGAAGATTCTTCAGTTCATCTTGAAAGGAAACAACATTATGCCTCAATTAGTTTGGTAGTTCAAACACCATAGTCATTCTGTTGGGGAAGTCGTATGAGTTAGGAATTTTAATGGTAATGGGATATTGTCTGTCTTCATTTTGTCATTGCTGCTATTAGGACCTTGTGTTCTCTGATATTGGATTGAAGCATCTTATTCATCTATTGGAATTTCATATTGCTTCTCAGTATACTGTATCTGTTGTTACTACTATTGGTTGTTGCATACTCGACAACCTTATTGACAAGCTTGTATGCCCTCATTGGCAGCGATTAAGGCAGTGGAAGCAGGTGCTGCTGGGATAATTGTCTCAAATCATGGAGCTCGACAGCTAGATTATAGTCCAGCCACGATATCAGTTCTGGAAGAGGTGCCTACTTTTACTAACTCCTTTGTCCGGCAGGTTTAATAATAGATTCTAGAATTTTGGAGCATTTGTAAACACTGGATAAGAGTAAATGCACCCGGTTTTGCCTCCTGAAAATAATGCACAAGGCATTCTGTTTCCCTCTATTTTTACAAATGCATGAAAGCTTGTGCTGCAGCAAGTCATCTATATCAAACAGCATTTTGGTCATGACTTTTTAAACCTTCGTTTGTAGGTTGTTCATGCAGTCAAAGGGAAAGTCCCTGTTTTTGTTGATGGAGGAGTGCGGCGAGGAACGGATGTTTTCAAGGCATTGGCCCTTGGGGCACAAGCAGTATTGGTACAATCTTTTATAATTAGTTTGGCACATTCCTGATATTTCCCAATGTGGACTATGTGTTATATTAGTAAGGGGTATCGTAACAAACCCTTGAGGTATTTACGTGATAATATTGTGCCAAGTTAGTAGAAACTATCTTTTCACATTACCAAAACACCTGAATCACAAATGAACAAGTGCCCTAAGACAAATGTTGACATTCTCTTAAAGAGTGGTCTTCTTACTACAGATAGGAAGGCCTGTAGTATATGGGTTGGCGGCAAAAGGGGAAACTGGAGTTAGAAGCGTCACTGAGATGCTGAAGGATGAGCTCGAGCTTACAATGGCACTATCTGGATGTCCCACCATAAAGGATATCACCAGGGGCCATGTGATAACAGACCGCGAGAGACTTTATTCCTCTCTCTGAATTCACGCTGCAGCATCCATGAAAATGAGATTCACATAGTCAAATGGACGATACCATTGTTGTTTTATCACTTGTAGTTTGCCGTGTTATGTAATTAGTTGTCATGTTTCATTATCAAAAATAAAATTGGAGTCAGAGTAAGAGCATCAGTATAGATTTTTAATTGTCAAAGCTGGTTTTTTCATGGTTCTTTAGTAGATGTTAATGTTCAATAGTACTTTTGTGCATTAAATTTGAAGCATAAAATCCTTGTAAGACATGAAATTGATCTGCGTCTTCCGACTCTAATACCTTCCAATCAACTTTGTCAAGTCTGTATCATCACGAACTCCCCTCTAAATGATGCCAAAGAACAGTTCTTCCCCACCACAAGATGGCTGGGTAAGATTAAGTACAGACATAAGTGCTTTTAGGAAGTTGTTGATAAAATGGATGCTCCTGTGGTCGTGCATTTCCTGAGAACATATTTTTGCCCCTACTGATCCTCTACTCCCCTCAGCAGGCTTGGGGCCTCTGTTTATTAGCTGGTACTTCTACGGTAGAAGTATCAGTGACTTGGCAATCTGTAGCGCGCTCAGTCCCTTGTTGGTCATTGCCTACGCGTCGGCTCCTTTCTTAACTAGTACCTCCAAGGCCTCCGTGTGCCCCGATTCGGTTGCGTAGTGTACGGCGGTGTATCCATCTTCGTCCTTTACGTTGATGTCGATTCCCTTCTCGAGCAGAGCCTTGACTGCCTCGGTGTGCCTGTTGAGCGAGGCGCGGTGCAGCGCTGTCCACCCGTGCTGGTCACAGCCGTTGATCGCGGCCCCGCTCTCGAGAAGTCGGTGGATTTGCTGTGCTTCTCCTTTCCTCGCCGCCGTGCACAATCTATCTCCTAACTTTAGGGCGTCAAAGTGCTTCGTGTGGCCGTGCTCTATCGCAAGGTCATAGGCGATCTTGCCGTACTTGTTGCGGACGTCTTTGGTGGCTCCTTTCTGCAGTAGGAGCTTCACCATATTCTCGTCCCCATAGCTCGCCGCAACGGTATACGACATGGCGGCAATCGTATTTTTTCTTTTTCTTGGTTTTGCAGTTGTTTGAGAAAGACTGAGCAGGATCTGGTGAGATTTTGGCGATGTGGTACCGGCACTGACCCGACCCTACCCGACCCATCTCTTGGGGTAAATGCTGAATATGGTCTCGGGTAGGGGTGGGGCGGGTCAAGCGCGACCCTATATGTTTCGGATCGGGTCGGGCCGGGCTTTCTTGATACCCAACCCGATCCGATCCATTGACACCTCTACTTCTACCCTCGTAGCCCAAGCCAGCAGGTCATAGCCTTTATTCCCGCATGTATTTCAATGAAATTTAATTTTTGCCTTTTATTCCAACACAAGGTTCACATTAACGAACAAACCAGGTTGAAGATTGTCCCGCAAAATCTGGTAAGAGATTCCCCAGTCATATACATTTCCCCAGAATCCGCTACAATGTAAGAGTGATTATATTGTGTATCAGACTCTGTCGGCTTATAGCACAGAAAAGACAGAAGAAAATGGAAAAGAGAGGGTTTTTTTTTTTATGATGAAAAATTTCAAATTAATACACATATAATAATTTTACTATAAATTAATATTTTGATTATTAAAAATTCTAAATTGGTATATCTGTGATAATTTTATCTTTAGTAAGTTTTCATTAAATTTTAACATTAAATTTATGAGTCGGATGCCACGTGACAATTGACGGATATACCATTTTGGGGTTTTACCCTCCGTTTGTCGTACCGATTTGTGATTTTTCGTGATATTAATCCAATTTAACGGAGGGTAAATTTGTCACAAACGTACAAATTTAGGATTTTGATGGTCAAAAAATTAGTTTGGAATAAATTTATCATAATTATATCAATTTAGAGTTTCGATAATCAAAAAATTAATTTGAAATAAATTTATAGGAGGTGTACCGGTTTGAAGTTTTTCGTGCCAAGGAGAATAACGGCGGGCAGCCTTTCATCGGACGCGATCGCTGGTAATCAGTAAATCCCCCATCCCCAACAGTAACCGAGGCATTCGACCAGAGGTTTTGCTCCGTTCGTGTGAAAACCCATGGCTCCCATTTGCTTATCCTACCCTTTGGATCGTCTCTCTTCTTTGATTCGAGTGCGCAGCGCAGAGCAACTCCCCTGCTCCGAACTTTTTTGAGCATCCGTATGGCTGAGCGTCTGCGATGCAGAAAGACCGCATTCTTTTTTTTGTCCTTCTGCCGTCATGGCTAGCGAAAAGATTATTGACCGTCATGTAGGAGTTTGTGACGAAGGTTCATGTGAGCGGTTAGGCTAGCGTGAGATTCTGAATGCCGTTGGGCTACGCGTTTTGATGTGTTCGTGTTCTGTAGTTTTGGCTATACATACGTCGAGGGATGTAGGTGCATTACGATCTCTATTCCATACTTTTCACTCTCCTGTTTAGATTTAGCGTGTGAATTCGTGTGGGCACATTTAACTTGCAATTATGCCGTTAGTTTATGGTAAATTGTTTTAGACCTTCATTTGCGTGAGTGTGTGGTCAAAAAGGCACCCTTATACGGTGTCGTTAGCTTAGCAGCACCCTTAGGAGAAATTGTTAAGCTGAGGTAATAAATGCTTAAATTTTTATTCAGGAAACATGGCCGAGGATTCTGTCCATGTGAATGAGTATCAAGAATTGGCTAGGCAAGCCCTTCCAAAAATGTGCTATGATTTTTATGCCGGGGGAGCAGAAGACCAGTGTACACTTCAAGAAAACACGGAAGCCTTTTGCAGAATAACGTAATGACTAATGAATGCTGGTCAGATTTAAATCTGCAGCAACCATATTATGTTGTTCGGTAATTCTCAACACATGTATTTCTGACAGGTTTAGGCCGAGAATCCTCATTGATGGGAGCAAAATTAGTTTGTTGACTACTCTATTGGGCTATCACGTTTCTGCCCCCGTTATGATTGGTCCAACTGCTAGGCATAAGTTAGCACATCCTGAAGGTGCGAAACCTGAATTTTTTTGGAGGAACTCTTTCGCATGTTTGCTTGTTTTGATTTTAGCGATGCAATTTTTCCATCTTCTAGGAGAGGTTGCCACCGCAAGAGCAGCTGCTGCATGTAATGTCATCATGGTAATAGATTACCAAATACTTTTAGTCTCAATTTGCTGCTATGACATACTCAATTCACCTCTTTACTCTAGATTCTTTCATATATGTCCACGTGCACTGTAGAAGAGGTCGCGTCCAGCTATGATGCCATTCGATTCTTTCAAATATATATAAGCATCTATTTGATTAAGAATCTCCAGTTTTCTTGGCTTTGTACATTCTCCATTAAGATTTAATCTCAATAATTAATGCATCTCCTTATGCAGGTATACAAGAGACGGGATATTACAGCTCGGCTAGTACAAAGAGCTGAAAGAAGTGGATCCAAAGCTATTGTTCTTACTGTTGATGTTCCCAGACTTGGCAGAAGGGAGGCAGACATAAAGAACAAGTAAAATGCTTTCCTCTACCTCTCTCGCTCACCCATCCCCATAGGGCATGGATATCATGGTCATGAACAAAGTTCGGGTACAGTTAAACTCTCTCTCTCTCTTTCTCTATGACAGAATGATAGCATCTCAGTTGAAGAATTTTGAAGGTCTACTCCCAACTCAAGTTGTCTCTGTGAGTGAATGATTTCTTTTCTACTTGAGGATCTGACAATAGCAATATAATTTTACCTATTCCATGGCCATGCATGCATGGGGAGATAACTATGTTCTTAATATCTCATCGACCAATCTCCTCTGATGGCATGGAGGCTGTTTTCATCATTATCTTCATACCCTGCTAGATGCTGCTCTCTTTTTTCGGTGTCTGTAACTCTTTTTGGCATTAGCAAGGTAGCAAAACAAAAAGAAATGCTCACTATGGTGTTGATGTTTGTGGATATGGTATTAGGCTCAGCCTATAGAAGATTTATTCCATAAGCTCTGTGCTTCTCTTATGCAAAGCTTGCCCTTGGTGCAAAGAGTATTGTATTCATTGACACTCTTTTCTTTATAACTGTTCAGTTTGATTATATCTGTGTCTGGAGGAGTTTTTTATAGTTCATTTGCTTAGAGAACATAATTTTTTACCCTTGTATCATGGGGCGAAGAAACAAAGGGTTCGGATAACGTTAGGCAACCGGAAATGTATGGTTAATACTTGACCGATGAAGACATTTTCACTGCCTAAATAACCTCTCGAGAGATATCTCAAATTTTTGTAGTTTTGTAAATGAAGAAATTAGGCATAACATCTCTCTCACTCTCTCTCCCCCCTTTTTTTTTTGACTCCGCTGCAATTTGCAGGATGAGGGTTCAAACGTAAAAGCTTTTGCTGATTCAACTGTTGATGCTTCTTTGAGTTGGAAGGTGAACCTCCATACCATCTTAAATTACTTTGTAATTAATCCTTGAAATTTATTCTGGGATGATGTTTCATCAAAAGAATCGGGTTTTCTGAATGAATGAGATGTGTGAGGCAGTGTCATCCAGCGTAGAAATAGGTTTAATAGCTATCTTGGGATGACTTTTTTCATTCAATTTTCCCTTGTGGCCGTGACCTACAAATGATAACTGGATCTTTATAATGCCTTTATTTGCTTTATTTGGTATCTTGTTGGTCATGTAACTAAATTACAATGCTGCAGGACATTGTATGGTTGAGATCTATAACAAAATTGCCGATTCTGATCAAGGGAGTTCTTACACACGAAGATGGTAAGATCTAGGATTGTATTCTCAAGGAAAAGCAGTTGAGGATTCGTCCGAAGACCGTTTTGTGTCCTACTTTGAACTATAGCTTACTTAGCATATTCATTACTTAAACCAGCATTCCAAAACCAGATCAGAGATTGAACCAAATTGCTGTCCCATACCAGTCTGAACTGATCGAAATCGGCCAAAAACTGTGGCTAAAGCCTCCTGGTTTGGTTTTAAAAACACTAGCTTAAACGAGAAGTCTTACTTTAAGATCATTTAAGACCTGGAAAAATTTGTACTATAAGGGTCCTTTTAATCTTATCCAAAAGACGAGAAGATATTACCTTGAACTTATTATCTGTCTCAAATCAATCTGTCAACCAATTTTCAGGTAGCGTGATCATAACTAGCAACTGACAAGACTGTCTGTCTTTGAGCTAATTTGGCATTGATTCTCTTAATAGAAAATTCTTTTAACCACATAAGCATACATGAGCAAAGGGATCATTGCATTTACAAGGAAAACAAAAAAAAAAGGGTCAAGGATGACGGCTTGAGAACTCATCAACTGTGCCAAAATCTGTTTTTGAAATCTCATTTGTGCTAGATTTGATGGAATTCGTTAGGGTTATTTAATAGTGCAGATTCGTGTGCGTGCTGTTGTTTTATTGTATATGAGGTGGGAACCCAACTGTATACTGAGCACCATGCCATTGCCAGTCCATCACCGTGTTATACAATACACTGACACCATAGCGAACGGTTAGGTACGATTTAATTGACATTGAAGTTCAGGATAGTGTGAAAAGCAGTAAAAATTCGTTCAGGTGCAAGAGATTTTGCAAAAACTTGGGTTTTGATTGTATATCTAGTTTGTTGAGGGTGAGCCTCTAGAATCAAACTTCAAAGATTTTTCAGTTCATCTTGAAAGGAAACAATATTATGACTCAATTGGTTTGGTAGTTCAAACACCATAGTAATTCTGTTGGGGAAGTCGTATGAGTTAGGAATTGGTGGTAAATGGGATATTGCCTGTCTTCATTTTGTCCTTCCTGGTATTAAGACCTTGTGTTCTCTGATATTGGATTGAAGCATCTTATTCATCTATTGGAATTTACTATTTTGCTTCTCAGTATTCTCAAACTGTTGTTTCTACTATTGGTTGTTGCATACACGACAACCTTATCAACAAGCTTGTATTCCCTCATTGGCAGCAATCAAGACAGTGGAAGCAGGTGCTGCTGGGATAATTGTCTCCAACCATGGAGCTCGACAGCTAGATTATACTCCAGCCACGATATCGGTTCTGGAAGAGGTGCCTATTTTTACGAACTCCTTTGTTCGGCAGTCTTAATAATAGATTCTAGATTTTGAAGCATTTGTAAACACTGGATAAGAGTAAATACACCCGGTTTTGCCCCTTCAAAATACCTTCAAAATAAAGCACAGTGGTTTTCTGTTTCCCTCTATTTTTACAAATGTATGAAATCTTGTGCTGCAACAAGTCATCTATATCAAACAGCATTTTGGTCATCACTGTTTTTTAACTTTCGTTTGTAGGTTGTTCATGCAGTCAAAGGGAAAGTCCCTGTTTTTGTTGATGGAGGAGTGTGGCGAGGAACAGATGTTTTCAAGGTATTGGCCCTTGGGGCACAAGCAGTACTGGTACAATCTTTTAATTAGTTTGGCACATTCCTGATATTTCTCGACGTGGACTATCTGCTATCTTAGTAAGGGGCATCGTAACAAACCCTTGAGGTATTTGGGTAATCATGTCATGCCAAGTTAGTAGAAACTATCTTTTTACGTTACCAAAATGCCTGATTCACAAATGAACAAGTGCCCTAGGACAAATGTTGACATTCTCCTAATAGTGGTCTTCTTACTACGGATAGGAAGGCCTGTTGTACATGGATTGGCGGCAAAAGGAAAAATTGGAGTTAGAAGGGTCACTGAGATGCTGAAGGATGAGCTCGAGCTTACGATGGCACTATCTGGATGTCCTACCATAAAGGATATTACCAGGGGCCACGTGATAACAGACCGCGAGAGATTTCGTTCCTCACTCTGAATTCACGTTGTAGCATCGATGAAGATAAGATTCATATAGGCAAATAGACGATGCCCTTGTTGTATTATTGCTTGTAGTTTGCCATGTTATGTAAATAGTGGTCGTGTTCATGATCAAAAATAAAATTATAGTCAAGTCAGAGCATGAGTAGAGATTTATGATAGTCAAAGCTGGTTTTTTCTTGGTTCATCAGTAGATGTTAGTGTTTAGTGGTCATTTTGGGCATCAAATTTGAAGCATAAAATCTTTGTAGGACATTAAATTGATTTGTCTTTGGACTCTAATACATTCCAATCAACATCGTCAAGTCAGTATCATAACGAATGCCCCTCTAAATGATGGGAAAGAACAGTTCTTCCCCACTAGAATGGAGTTTCAAGTGGATCAACAGATCTAGTAATGTTGCTGCTCATGAGCTTGCAAAATGGGCTTTTTATCATTTGGGAAATGCTTCGTCTTTCTTTTTTAATGATCTCCCACCTAGAGTAAAAAACTTAGTGTTAGCGGAGTCTTCTTTAATTTATCGTGTTGATCTAGGTTCTAACTCTTCTGTGTAATATTGTACTTTTCTGATGCAATGGAAGGTTCGATTTAGCAAAAAAAAAAAGAAGGCTGGGTAAAATTAAGTACAGACATAAGCGTTTTTCGGAAGTTATTAATAAATTGGATGCTCGTGTCGTCGTGCATGTCCTGAGAACACATCTTTGCCCCTACTCATCCTCTACTCTCCTCCTGCAGCCTCGGAGCCTCCGTCATTATTATTTTTTTGGACGGACGGGGCCTCTGTTTATTAACTGATACTTCTACCCTCGGAACCCAAGCCGCATGTACTCCAGTGAAATTTAATTTTAGCCTTTTATTCCAACACAAGGTTCAAGAACATTGACAAACCAGATCAAAGATTGTCCCGCAGAATCAGGTAAGAGATTCCCAAGTCATACACATTTCCCCAGAACCAAACTTGGAACCCAGTAGAAGAAAATGAAATGAGTGAAGTTCATCTCCCCATAATCACTATGAGTGAAGTTCATCTCCCCATAATCACTTGGCCAATGGTTGTGCATCAGTCTGCTTCTGCTCTTGTTTGCGGAATGGATCCTACAGATGCAGAAAGATACAGTGTAGTTCAGACCGTAAAAGTATCCACATAGACGTGGTGATGTTACATTACTGCACGTCAAGTCAGAATTTTTTTTATTAAAGACAACATCTTTAAGTGGAGAGAAAATGCAAAGCGTGCAATATCATTTCACAAGCTCAGACTAATCTAGCTTTAGACAAACAAGATAGCACATGTATGGTTTCAGTTTTCACGATAAAATGGACTCACTACCTCTGGGCAGTTAGATGAACCTTAATCAGATATGTGGCTCGAGCAATACCGATTTACAACATGTCAACTTTTCATCGTCCAGTTTCTGTATGATGAATAATAGATGCTGTGGTTAGAAAGTTTCTGTGGAACATTCCTCATGACTCAGGAGAAAACCCAGCTCCTACCTCTAAAACCATGGCCGTGTTTGCTATGTAAACTCAGTTGGAGGATTTTGGTCGATGCAAACAAAGTCAGGGCTAAGGTTTTGAAAGCCAGGTACTTGCAACATGGTAAATTTATGGGAGGTGACAAGAAAGATAACTAATTCGACTGTAATGGAAAACTTATTCAAGCGGGAGCTAGGAATGAGCCCCATGGTCAACCCCTTACCCTCGAGTCTTAAAGTAATTTCTAAACATCCCAGGCCTCAAAGATCTGTTTTATACAGTCCAGAATCTCTCACAAACAGATGATGCCGCCAATAGATACATGCTGGGAGAAAAATTCTGGATGATAGAAGCATTCGGGTCCGTATGCTCCAGTGGATTCATCTTATGCAAGGAGATAAAGATTCGAAAAGTTGGTCATCTTACTCGACCTCATATTTATCATACCATTGGTGATGGAAAATATACTTGACTACAGCATGATGAACATCTGGCTTATACAAGGCAACGCTACATCTTAATTAGGGTTAAAATGGCGAGCCCGATTAGCCGATGCAACAAGAGGGATACATTGTTATTGCCTGCAGCTAGAAGTGAGGAAATTGGTGAAGATTCAGGCCAAATAACGGCCGATGACGCTGATCTGTTGCAGCATCAATGCCGCTACTCGGCCCACAGCTAAACCAGTCCCTAATATGCAATCGAGCTCCATATCACTGTCCACGACAATCCGACGGATCATTCGGGCGCTCTAGAAAGGCCGGATTTCTAACACCATCCAATCAAAGGAACAACGAAAGAAAGGCGCACACACGCACACCCGAATCAGACGCAACCTACACATGCAATCCGCCGAAAATCTATCAAGCAAGAGAAAAACCCGAAATTTGTAACGAAGGCAAGTCCGAAAGCAAAAGGGAAGCCGACGAAACAAGCAGAAACCGATAAGAAATCGAAAGGGGAGAGATTTGGATTTACATGCTCGACGAAGGTGTGATTGGCGACGACCACAGTGGCCACGACGCCGCCGAGTATGGCGGCGGGACCAGTGAGCAGACTCCACTTGCGGTATATCATCTTCCCCCGCTTCTCCTTCTTCCTCCCTCTCTCTCCCTCTGCGCGATCAATCTCTCCACAAAGCTCGTTTTTTTCCAGGAAAAGGAAAAGCTGAAAAAGAAAAAGGAAATTGTAGAACCATGAACATGGGCCACATGGATCGACATTGGGCTCCCATAAGGCCCCTTTCACCATAAACATCTGTTATTTATTTTGGCAAATGAAAGAAATGGGTTATATACATAAACGGATGAAGGTTTGTTTATTCCGAAAAAAGAATTTTGTGAACAACCTTCTGGAATTGAAGGCAAACATTGTGGCTTCTCTTCAATGCATGCATGACTTTACACAAGCACAGACCATTATGTGAACTTAGTTTATGAATATTTTCAATTTTTGATCAAGAGGGTAACCCAAAGAAAATTTTCTATTAAAAAACACAGAGAAATGGCTTCACTGTCGAACCTTTACTTTTACAACTATTAATAGTGACCCCTCAGTATTGTTTGGGATAAAGAGACCTGGGTAGCTCCTCTCTCTCTCTCTCTCTCTCTCTCTCTCTCTACACGCCCTTAACAGGAGCAACATTGGCCGCCTCCTGAAATGGAAGCTGAAGCTGAGATCCATGAAGAAGCCAAAGAGATGGGCTCACAGACGCCTAAGCAAACAGTGAAGGCAAGATCAAGAAGACCTCCACACAATTACGTGGCCATTGTGAAAGATTCCGACGTGCCCATTCAAACTTTCCCTCTCGACAAGCTCTGCGATCAGCTCTACGACGGAGTGGTTCTGCAACGGGGGAAGAGAGTGAGCCTCTCTCTCTCTCTCTCTCTCTCACGATTTTCTTACCTTCATTCTGAATTGTAAAAAAAAAGGGAGATTTTTATGTGGACTTTGATATATCCTGTAATTGTAGAATGAATATGAAATTTCATCCTTGCAGAAGTACTGGGTCGACAGGCATCTGAACAAGAATTGCTTCATGGTGTTTGCGAGGGAGCTTGCAATTACATGGGGCGACTCCGACCAGTTCTGGGAATGGACGACCGTCAAAGAGTCCGGGTAAGAGGTGTCAATATTCTAAAAAAAAGAAAAGAAAAAAGAACAAAGAAACCGAGATCATCATTTCTCTCGGAAAAAATCCGCTAAAAAAGAAAAAAAAAGCATTTTATTTTCTCGTTTTTATCAAATTATCTTTATCTTGGACGACATAAAGCGAATTCACCTCTTGTGCGCGTTAAGGTCGTGGGCTGCAATGACTACTAGTTTGTTTTTAGCTCCTCGCTGCTTCATTTGAATAATTTATGTTCATCTGTACACAACCTGTGCAAAACATGAAGTGCACAAACTCTAATTGAGAAGTATGGATGTTTCAGTTCTGCTAATTGGTCAATGCACTTGTAAAAGAAAATTCTCCGGCATGTGAAGTTAACTATTTATGACAGATTGTTTATCATATAAAAGCTATTATCATTTTCGCCTTTTAACCGGATATGGAGTGTTTTGAGAGGGACACCATTCTTCTATACTTTTAGAGAGCGCCAAGACACTGTACATAGATCTGGACACATGTTTCCTTATTGCTGAATAGTTAAAGATGGCATTCTAAGCATGACCGATCGAGGTACCCGTAGGAATAGAATCTATCCACCATTTTGAGATGATCAAGGAGCCAAGATATTTAC